CTATACTTATATCAGATAAAATAGACTACAAATCAAAGACTACTTTAAAAAGAGTCAGTGGTCACCGTATAATGCTAACAGGGTCATTTCATCAAAAGATATGACAGTTATAAAAATCTATAAACCCAACACCAGAGCTCCCAAAAATATAAATCAAACATTCACTGATCTAAAGGGAGAGGTAGACTGCAATGCAATAATATTAGGAAATTTTAACACCCCACTCTCAGTAACTGACAGATCATCTAAACAGGAAATCACCAAGAAAATATTAGAATTACACTGCACACTTGACCAAATATATCCAACTGACACGTACAGAAGCACTGCTGCAGAATACTCATTCTTTTTATCAGTACATGGAACAATCTGCAGAATAGACCACACATTTTAGGCCAAAAACAGATGTCAATATACTAAAAAAAAAAAGTAGAAATCACATCAAGTATTTTTTCTTACCACAGTGGGATGAAACTAGAAGTCAATAATTCGAGAAACCTCAGACACTACACAAATATATGAAAATTAAATAACGTGCTCCTTAACAACCAAAGAGTCAATGATGAAATTAAGAAGAAAATTTTTAAAATTTCTTGAAACAAGTGAAAATGGAAGCACAATAAATCAAAATCTGTGGTATGCAGAAAAGCAGTACATAGAAGGAAGTTTAAAGTAATAAATGCTTTTTTAAAAAAGGTAGAAAGACTTCAAATAAAGAATCTAATGATGACCTCAAAGGATTTAGAAGAGCAAGAACATACCAAAACCCAAATTAGTAGAAGAAAAGAAGTAATAAAAATCAGAGCAGAAATAAATGAAATGAGACTAAAAGTACAACATAGAAGATTAAGAAAACAAAAACAAAAAGCCACTTTTTAAAAAAGAAACACAAATCAGCAAACTTTCTACTAGATGAAGAAAAAATAGAAAAGCACTGAAATAAATAAAATTACAAACAAAGCAATCAAACAAAAGAAAATGGAGACAAAACAGCCTATATCACATAGGGTCAGGCATGGTGGCTCATGCCTGTAATCCCAGCACTTAGGGAGGCTGAGGTAGAAGGATTGCTTGAGCCTTGGAGTTCAAGACTAGCCTGGGCAACATAGTAAGATCCTATCTCTATTAAGATACTACCACCACAAACAACAATAGCTGACACCACAAAAATACAAAGAATCATCAGAGATTATTATAAAAACTACATGCTAAAAATTGGAAATGCTAGAAAAAATGAATAAATTGCTGCACAAATACATTCTACCAAGATAGAACCATGAGGAAACAGAAAACCTCAATGAACCAATAATGAGTAATGAAGTTGAAGATGTAATCTTCCTATCTTTAGTACAGCAAAGATCAAGAAAGGAAGAAACAGAATATATGTATATGACTGTCATCCTTTTTGGGATTGTCCATGCCTCAGTTCAGAACTTCTGTCATTGACATGGCATGGGGCAACTGGCATACTCATACACTTCTGCTGAGATTATCTACTATTTATGGCCAAATATATTTAAGTTAATCTGTGAATATTCTGTGCTTAATAAATCTTCTTATATCTCAAGTTATATTCAGTATTTATAAAAAAGGCAAGAAATGTAAAATACGAAGTTGTTCAAAACCATCTAATTTGCAATAGTCAAAATGTGGCACAATCCAAATGTTCATGCAAGTGAAAAGATTAATATCTGGTGGTATATACCTAGCAGTGAATGCATTATAGTAAACATCTGCTAATACAGCCTGAGGCTAAATCAGCTCACCTTGTGTTTTTGTACAACCACCAGCTAAAAATATAATTTATATTTTAAAAATAAACAAAATAATTAATAGAGGGACAATATTTTGTGACACATACAATTTTATAATATTTACATTTCCATGTTCAATTTTATTGACACACAGCCATGGTCAATGTCTATGCATTTTCTATGGCTGTGTTTCTGTGCAGAATTCAGCAGTTGTAGCAGAGACTGTATGTCTAACAAAGCTTAAATATTTATTATCTGGCCATTTTTATTTAAAAAAAATTCAATGTTTTCTATAATAGTGAACTTCTGCTATATATTATGACATTGAAAAATCACACCAGCATACTGTTGAATAAAAGGAAAAAGATACAAAGATGCATGCAAATTGCGTGCTCGTATTTATGATTCATGCAAATTACATACTGTATTTTATAGGTATTTAACTTTGATCATATTTATATAAAGTTTTTTAATAGCCAAAACTAACCTATAGCAATAGAAGTCAACATACTCATTAACATGGGCAAGAAAGTGTTGAACAGAAGTGAGATTATCATGGTAAATAATTTTACCATAATAATTTTTGTATCTCCTGATGCCTTACGTAGGTCATGTAATTAGCAAAATTGATTAATTGTTACCAATTAAATGTTATTATGAATAATGGAAAGAGAATGAGATACTGAGAAAAGATCATGATTGAGACAAAAAGGAATAGAATCATACATAGAAAGCCCTGAAAAATACAATAAAGGATGTAACTTACCGATCGTTACAACAATACAATTAGATATCATTAGCACTGATTATAAAACACTTTTTACGTCTGCTCAGAACACCTGAAAAATAAACATAAAAACATTTAGGAGACTTCTTTTTCCAAAATAATGATATAAAAGCAAATTGGCTTTAATGCCCCCCACAGAAAACAACAATAACAAATTAGTGCTGTGATTATCACCAGCAATATCCCAGAACTCAAACATGAGGAGACAGTTCCTAGAGGCACAGAAAAGTGAAAAAAGCAAATAAAACTCCATATAGATAATAAGAGAATTAGACTGACATATCTATGATGCCTCTCACTGTAATCTTCCTGGTACCCAAGTATATGGAAACATTGTTTCTATACTGGAAAACATGAGATCAAAATGGATAACCAGCTTCACCACCAGCTTGAGTGCCCTGGCAGGAAGTTTGCCCACCTGCCTTAACACTTGGAAAATCAGGGGTGCCCTGAAGGGAGACATAACTCTGCAGAGACAAAGTAGGGGGGCAAGACTACCAACCCCAGTACCAGAAACTCTGCTGTTACCTGGACAAAGAAGATGTCAACTTAGAGGGGCTGCCAAGCAACATTATGCTGTAGGAAGTTCGTTCCACAAGTCCTGTGGGCTGGAATCCCAGTCAGGCTTCCAACACTACTGGCATACCCCTTTGGAACCTCTCCCATTTGGTATGGGTGGCACTCTGATTGTTTACTAGGATCAAGACAAACATGGGTTAAGGTACCATGTAGTCATAAAAGGGAGGCAGAAACACAGACCCCCCACCCCCCAAAAAATCAACAGGTAAATTACAAGGAACATTTAAATAAATATATTCAATATAAACCAAAACAAGCCGTATAAAATCCTTCAACACAAAAACATAGATGAATACCCATAAGAAATAACAGCAAACAGGGAACTGTGATATCCTCAAATGGAGAAAGTTGGAATCAGAGACAGACGTTAATGAGATGGCAATATTTGAGCACTTGTACCAAGCATTCAAAACAGTAGTTTTAAGAAAACTCAGTGGTCTCTAAAATAATACACAAATATTCAGAAATTTATCAGAGGAAAGGAATTGAAATACTTTTTGAATATCAAAAGGAAATATTGGAACTGAAACATACATTTGCTTAACTGAAAATTTTATTAGAGTCTCTCAACAGGAGAATGGATCAAAGCAGAAGAAATAATGAGCATGAAGATGGGCTTTTGAAAATACACAAGAAAAGGAGAAAAAAGAATAAAGATGAGTGAAGAATGCCTACATGCTATAAAAAAATTACTGCAAAAGACCGCAGCTAAGAATTATTGGTGTTTAAGAGAGAGTCCAGCCAGAGCAAGGGGTAGATAGCCTATTCAAAGAAATATAACAGAAAGCATTCCAAAGCTTGAGAAAGAGATATTCAGGTAGATAAAGGTCAGAGAACACCAAACAGATTTCAACCCAAACAAGACTACCCCTAGGCCTATAATAAATAATCCAACTCTCAAATGTCAAGAACAAAGAGAGGATCCTAAAATCAGCAAGAGAAGCGAATAACATCTAAAGGAGCTCCAATTTATCTGACGACAGACTTCTCAGTGGAAACCATACAGGCCAGGGGGAACAGAGATGATGTTTCCTTAAGTGCTGAAAAAAATAAAAATCTGCCATCTAAGAACACTATATCCTACAAAGCTATCCTTCAAATCTGAAGGAGAAAATAGTCTTTCCCAGACAAGTAAAAACTGAGAGTATTCACCACCAGTCGTATCTTATAAGAAATGCTAAAGAAAGTTTTTCAACCTAAAAGAAAAAAACATGCAAAAAGAAAACAGCTGAATATATATAGAATACACTGATAAAATTACATGTAGGGACAAACCCAGAATACTCTAATACTATGATTGTGATGCACAATCTACTGACATCTGTAGTATGAAGACCAGAAGACAAATCTATCAAAGACAATAATAACTGCAGAAACCTGTTAAGAGGTAAGGAATAAAAATATGCAAGCTGAGACAACTAAATTAAAAAATGTGTGAGGGCGGAGTAAAAGTATTTGTTAGTTTTGTTTCTATTTTTTTCTTTATTATATAAGTTGTTATCTCTTTAAAAGAACTTGTTATATCTATGTTTTTTATAAGCCTCATAGTAATCACAACACAAAACCTATAATACAGTCACCAAAAATAAAAAGCACCTAATTAATATACGCTACCAGAGAAAATTATGTGACCACAAAGAATGACCATAAGAAAACAGAGATAAATTTAAAAACAACCATAAAACAAGCAACGAAATAGCTGTAATAAATCCTTACTTAACAATAATAACACTGAATTTAAATGAAGTCAACTCTCCAATGAAAAGGCATAAAATGCAGGCCAGGTAAGGTGGCTTATGCCTGTATTCCCAGAACTTTCGGAGGACAAGGGAAGTGGATCCCTTGAGATCAGAAGCTCAAGACCAGCCTGGCCAACATAGCAAAACCCTGTTTCTACTAAAAATACAAAACTTAGCTAGGTGTAGTGGTAGAGGTCTGTGATCCTGGCTACACAGAAGGCTGAGGCAGGAGAATTGCTTGCATCCAAAAGGTGGAGGTTGAAGTGAACCAAGATCATGCCATTTCACTGGAGCATGGGCAACAAAGCAAGACTGTCTCACAAAATAAACAAACAAACAAATAAATAAATAAATAAAAATTATAAAAGGAATAAAGGGGCTGAATTGGTAAAGAAAAAAACCGTGACTGTATGCAGCCTACTAGAAATCCACTTCACCTATAAGCGCACACAGAGAATGAAAGTGAAGGGAGGAATAAAGATATTTCATGCAACTAGAAACCATGAAAGCAGGAGTAGTTATATCAGATAAAATAGACTAAAAATCAAAGACTACTTTAAAAAGAGACAAAGGTCACTATCTAATGCTAAAGGGGTCAATTCAGCAAGTGGATATGATAGTTTAAAAAACCTATGAACCCAACTTCAGAGCTCTCAAGCATATAAAGCAAACATTCATTGATCTAAGGGGAGAGGTAGACTGCAATGCAATAATATTAGGAGACTTTAACTGTCAGTAATGGATAGATCATCTAAACAGGAAATCACAAGGAAATATTGGAGTTACACTACACACTTGACCAAATATACCCAACTGACACATACAGAAGCACTGCTGCAGAATACTCATTCTTTTTATCAGTACATGGGACAATCTGCAGAATAGACCACATTTTAGGCCAAATAAAAGTCTCAATAAATTCAACAGGGTAGAAATCACATCAAGTATCTTTTCATACCACAATGGGATAAAAGTAGAAGTCAGTAACTCGAGAAACCTCAGAAACTTCACAAATACATGAGAATTAAATAACGTGCTTCTTAATGACCAAAGAGTCAATGACGAAATTAAGAAGAAAATTTTAAAAACTTATTGAAACCAGTGAAAATGGAAGCACAATAAACCAAAATCTGTGGTATGCAGAAAAGCAGTACATAGAAGGAAGTTTAAAGTAATAAATGCTTTTTTAAAAAAAGGTAGAAAGACTTCAAATAAATAACCTAATGATGACCTCAAAGGATTTAGAAGAGCAAGAACATACCAAAGCCCAAATTAGTAGAAGAAAAGAAGTAATAAAAATCAGAGCAGAAATAAATGAAATGAGACTAAAAGTACAACATAGAAGATCAAGAAAACAAAAACAGAAAGTGTGGCTTTTGTTGTAAGTACAGCACAAAATCGCAGAGCTAGATCCAAAGAGGTGATTTATATTGGAACATGGTCTTCTCAGACATAATTAGCGGAAACTGATGAACAAAGACCATTGTAACACTTTGGTGTCTTATGAAAAGATAAACAAAATATAAAAAAGATAAAATCAACAAACCTTTAGCTAGACAGAGAAAAAATATAAAAAACTCAAATAAAAAAATCAGAAACAAAAACAAACAAAAACATGGAGACAAAACAGCTGATGTCATATAGGGCCAGGCATGGTGGCTCATGCCTGTAATCCCAGCACTTTGGGAGGCTGAAGTAGGAGGATTGCTTGAGCTCAGGAGTTCAAGACTAGCCTGGGCAACATAGCAAGACCCTATCTCTATTAAAAACAAACCACAACCACCACCACGAACAACAACTGTTACCGCACAAATACAAAGAATCATTAGAGATTATTATAAAAAACATATGCTAAAAATTGGAAATTCTAGAAAATATGAATAAATTGCTACACAAACACAATCTACCACGATTGAACCATGAGGAAACGGAAACCTCAAGGAAACAATAATGAGTAATGAGGTTGAAGATGTAATCTTCCTGTCTTAGTACAGCAATGATCAAGAGGGAGAAGAAACAGAATATGTATATATGATGGTCATCCTTTTTTGGGATTGTACATGACTCAGTTCAGAACTTTAGTCCAAGCTCTTTCTGATGATGTTTCTTATCATCTTTCATATATGATCTTGTTAATTTTATGAATTATTTATTAATTTTCTTTAAACCTCAGGTATCAAAAAGACAGGAACTCGTTCCCCCTTTTCCATGCCACAAATCAAGTAAATATGTCAGTAAGTCATTCC